AGCAGAGGGCGGTGTGAGCGTGGGCTTAGAGGGTCCCTGGGCCTCCAGCATTAACCCCGGGGTGGGAGACCCCGAGCGGCTCTGAGCATCTCTCAAATTCTCAGGGGTCCCTGGTGCAGAGGCCCCCCCACAGCGCCTGGGCCGCCTGCTGCTGCTCTAGGCTGCAGGGGTCGTGCGTCTGCTGAGCACCTACTGCATACCCGAGCTGGCTGGGCGATGAGCGCCGACTGCATACTTGGGTTCCGGCTGGGCGATGAGCGCCGACTGCATACTTGGGTTCCGGCTGGGTGATGAGCGCCGACTGCATACTTGGGTTCCGGCTGGGTGATGAGCGCTAACTGAATAAACTGCTTCTGGCTGGGCGATGAGCGCCGACTGCATACTTGGGTTCTGGCTGGATGATGAGCACTGACTGCATACTTTGTTTCTGATTGAGTGATGAGCGCCTACTGCGTACTTCACTTCTGGCTGGGTGAGAAGTACTGACTATATACTTTGTTTCTGGCTGGGTGATGAGCGCCTACTGCGTACTTTGCTTCCAGCTGGGTAATGAGCGCCAAGTATATACTTTGTTTCTGGCTGGGTGATGAGCACCGACTGTGTACTTGGCTTCTGGTTGGATGATGAGCGCTGACTGCATACTTTGTTTCTGATTGAGTGATGAGCGCCTATTGCGTACTTCACTGCTGGCTGGGTGAGAAGCGCCGACTATATACTTGGTTTCTGGTTGGGTGATGAGCGCTGACTGTGTACTTGGCTTTTGGTTGGGTGATGAGTGCCGACTGTGTACCCCAGGAGGGCTGGACCACATTGTGGAGCTTCTGCTTTCATACCTGCAGCTGTTTGCTTCGTGATCCCCGGGCCTGGCTTTGCGTGGGCACTTGGCCTTTGTCTGTTGGGAGAGTGAGAGGCTTGGTGGCCTTCACAGGCCGTGTGAGCCCAGGAAGGCCCCCGGGCTTCCTGATGCCTCTGTTATTTTGCGTTTCAGGCAACAGTGACAGCAGCCCTGAGTCTGTGGGGAGGAGGGTGATGCACAAGGTCGGGGTGGAGAATCCCTGCTTATTCCTGTAATCGTTCCTGGCATCACAGTGGTAGGAGAGGCCCAGGACTGACCCATTTCTGAGGGTGTCGAGACAGCCTCAGACCCCAACCCACCCCTTCCTGACTCCCGCCTGGTCTCCTGAACCCGCTCTCAGGCCCACCCCCCAGGAGCCATTGGTGCTGTAACCTCGAATTTCACACCCCGAAACGGGCTGAGATGGAAAGAGGGGTGCTCAACGCGGGAAGGGTCCTGTAGGAAGGGGCTCCGAGTAGCCTTTGAGCCTTCATAACCCTGACCGCAGGCTCAGTCCAGCGTCTGGCACTGCGAGGAGTCGCATGCTGGGAGCCTCCAACCCCCTCCCTCCCGGCCTGCGCCCTGGCCCCGGGAGCCTTAGCTTTCTCAGGTAAGGGACACGGGGACCACCTGGGGTCTGAGGCAACCACCCAGCTCTGCCCTGTTCGGCATCAGCTCCTCCATCTGCATATATTCAGAATCAAAACTCACTCCCATGTGGGGCTGTGTCCTCTGTACCTGATAGTTGCTGAGGAAAAGAAGCTGATATGACCAAGAGTTAATCTCCTCAGCATATAAAGAGCACCAACAAGTCAATAACAAAAGCATTCAGGCTGGGTGCAGTGACTCATGCCTGTAATCCCAGCACTTTGGGAGGCCAAGGCAGGTGGATCACAAGGTCAGGAGATCGAGACCATCCTGGCTAACACAGTGAAACCCCATCTCTGCTAAAAATACGAAAAATTGGCTGGGTGTGGTGGCACGTGCCTATAGTCCCAGCAACTCGGAAGCCTGAGGCAGGAGAATTGCTTGAACCCGGGAGGCTGAGATTGCAGTGAGCCGAGATCGCTCCACTGCACTCCAGCCCGGCAACAAGAGCAAGACTGTGTCTCAAAAAAAAAAAAAAAAGTATTCAGTAAATGGATCATCAGGTTTGGAGGCTCACACCTGAAATCCCAGCACTTTGGGAGGCCAAGGTGAGAGATGCACTTAAGACAAGCCTAGGCAACATAGTAAGACTGAAACTATAAAAATAAATTTGAGCCAGGCGTGGTGGCTCACGCCTATAATCCCAGCACTTTGGGAAGCCAAGGTGGGCAGATCACCTGAGGTCAGGAGTTCGAGACCAGTCTGACCCACATGGAGAAACCCTGTCTCTAATAAAAATACAAAAAATGACCCAGGTATGGTGGCACATGCCTGTAATCCCTGCTACTGGGGAGGCTGAGGCAGGAGAATTGCTTGAACCTTGGGGGCAGAGGTTGTGGTGAGCTGAGATAGCACCATTTCATTCCAGCCTGGGCAACAAGAACAAAATTCCATCTCAAAAAAAAAAAAAAAAATTAGGCCGAGTACAGTGGCTCACACCTGTAATCCCTGCACTTTTGGAGGCCGAGGCGGGTGGATCACCTGAGGTCAGTTCAAGACCAGCCTGGCCAACATGGTGAAACCCTGTCTTTATTAAAAATACAAAAAGTTGGCCAGGCGTGGTGGCTTATGCCTGTCATCCCAGC